TTGTTTCTTGGAGCCAAAAGATGTGGGAGCAAGGGCAATTAGGTCCTTTTAGGTTATTTTTGAATTGTATGCATTAAGTAGGGAGTAATGAGGAGGTTTAGGGTTATGTGATTTTGTTTTGAAATTTCTCTTGTTCTTCTTGTTGATTTGGGCTCTAGATCGTATTCTAGAGATTGGGAGAGTGCGATCCTCCTCTCGAATAGAGGATCCTTGTATCTTTGCTATTTTCCTTGCATCTATTAGTAAAATACAAGTATTTTATCCGTGTTTGCTGCAGTTTTTCTCTATTTTCCCTCAGTTTTGGGCTGTTTTCCTGCTGTGGACAGCGGTTGTTCTTGAGATTTGTTGCCAAAGTGATTAGGAAATACTTGAAATCAAGTATTTCCTATCACAGTCAAAATATTCAAATAATTCATATCAATTGTATACAATAAGTTACACCATAAAAGTGATAAATTAAGAGAAAATGCATCTTTATCGATTTAGGTGAGAAAAAATCCATCAAATTCAAAATCATTAAAAAAATAAAATGAAATTTGTGTTACTTACAACAATCAGAATAAATCTCTTAACAAAATTGACGGACGAAAAATGACCAAATCATGCTTTCTCTCTCCTCTCCCTTTTCCCTCTCTTCTCCCTTGCCTTCCCAAGCAAGTCATGGCGCTGAAGGTGGATGGGAGGCGGTGGGGTGGATTTAAAGAAAAAAAATATTTTTAGTGGCATAGCACCGCAATGCTCAGACTCAGCAACAGTGCTGCATGCTGAAATCTGAGTTACTATAGAACATAGACTCTGGCACTTAAGTGAAAATGTATGGCGCCGCTATGCTCTAGAACCCAACGCCTCGATGCTCAAAGGTACACCACCGCTACACTATAGTTCATACATTAATTTATTTTTTTAACACAGTTCATTTTTTGAGTAATTATAATTAAGCTCTCCCTAATTCCCCGCAAAATAAACCTCTTGTCTTAATTGATTCCCACTCCTATTTGAATTCAAATAAGAAATATTTCCCTCATTCCTAAATTATTGCTTTGTTGGGCCCCACAAGGGGGTCGAAACCTCCTCTCCCTAGTTCGGTTTCTGGTTGGCTGGGTCCCCCCCCCCTGCGGCTCCCGTCGTATCAGATTTCTGCAAGTTTACAGTCGATACAATATGGTTTGATGAAACAAATTAAATGAAATCCAAATCATGCAATTCCAAACACACTAGGACCCAAAAAAAACCCAAAAAGGATCAGCAAAAATCATCTTAGGATGTTCTAAGGTGATAGCCAACCGAACTGGTTCAGTCGAAATGGTCCAATAGGGCATTTAAGCAAAGAGCGAGCGGGTTGAGCAACATGCTGGAGAGCAAGCATGAGCAAGAGGACATGAATCCTCGTACAATTAAGTGCAAAATTTCATTATTTTCGATCTATTATCTATTTCCTAGATCCCACATAGAACTAACAATCTATTATCCATTTGAGTGGAAAGAGTCATCTCCCCATGCCATTAATCTTTCAAGCTAGCAAATCTAAATGTAATATGAGGATCTAAGACATTGAGACGCCGAAAGAACAAATAAAAATAAAATTTTACTAATCCTTATGATTGCAAGATCATAAATAGAAGCAAATGAAAAAAAAATGAACTCTATCTATGAATGTTAGAAGGAATTACAAAATAATCAAACATATGAAAAATTTTAAAAAAAAAACTTAAAATTCACTTTAACTATTATAAATTACACATTTATCAGCTTGGTTAAGCAAGATGTTATCTTTCCATGGAACATTTGAGATTGCAATTAGGTGTGTACCAACTCTTTGACATCAAGTATACGAGAGATATGTAATAGATATAATCAAGGAAGTTAGACAGATTGTTTGTGAGGGGTTTCGAATATTAATTTTCTAGGAGCTTGAAGGCCTAGTTGCGTTACATTAAAATATCAATAAGTGTAATTATTTGCATTGCAAACCATTAAAAATTAGAACTAGCACATTCCAACGGTTTAAAGCTCCTGTCCTTAGCAACAAAAGAGGCACATTACAAGATCTTGAAAACAAATTTCCCAATTATAAATTATACATACTAGGAAAAGTTAAACACATTCATAATAATTAAAAATTAAAAAGCAAAAGATCGTTAAAATAAAATTTAAAATATCCAACATTTCACAAATTTAACTAACTCCATAAACTTTTCAACGTCGATTCTGCTCACCCTAAAAGGCTGTACTGCAAATATAATCGGAAATAGATACAGTTTAAATACAAATACAGCACAAAAATCTCACCGGTTAACACGATAGCCTTCACATCATTCCTGCTCATCGCCTCAGCATACTTCTCCTTCAGTCCAGCAATAACTACAAGGCAAGCAAGAGCGATTCAGGGGACAAGATCAATTCATCCAACAAATGATTTGAAAAAAAAAATACCAAGAAAAAGAAAAACAGTCAAATAAATGGAGGGGCAGAGTGGAGCCGCCGGGGATTACTGGAAGGAGCAAGCGCATTGACGGGAGGATTTGACATCGTGATGACGGCCACACCATCGCTTCCGACCTCCAGAAATACTCGAGTCCTCGCCATCCTCTAAATTAGGGCTTGTGGCTCCTCTTCCACCTTCTTATGAAAGATCCCCGGCGGCCAATCCCTGCCACCTCGTCGACTCCTAGCAGCAAGGACAAAACAAGCAGCACCAAAGACAGCTGCGTACGCAGCTCACCTTGTTCTGTTGCTACCAAGCTCGCGGATTTGAGTCTTTATAATGTGTATCAATCTAAAAAAAAATAATAACAGCGGGCGTGTCATAATTTTTTTTCATCTCTCTCGAATAAAAAAATAAAAAAATAATAGAGCTCATTTATTAGTTTTGATACATTCTTATAGGATATAGTATCTCATTAAGTAATAATTAAATTTACAAAAAAATAATTAGAATTAGGTCATATGAAAATTTTGTTTGGGACGAATTTTTTATTGCTTATTAAAATAAAATTTAGTACGTAAATTTTAATTTTTATACTAAAATTATGTTTTAAAAAGTAATAAAAAAAATCAACTCAAACTAGCATGTACTCCCAACTTAAATATGCCCTATTTTAATATCATCATCAATAATAAATATAAAATTAATAATTCTTTTATAATATATTTATTTTAAAATATATTTATTTTGGTTCAATATTTTTTTCCTTAAATTCTCCATATGTAAGCATGTGCCAAATTTCCGAGACGCTCAGTTTGACTGTAAGCTCGTTGAAATCGGAGTTTGGATGCTCCCGGATTTAATTTTTTAAGTCTACAACTAGTTTTTTGCCTCGAGATTCGTGCCCGATCAAGCTAATTTTGTGATGACGTATCAATACTATATACTATATAGTATATACTACTTTTAAAATAAATTAAAATATTTCAAGCTCAACTTAATTAAAAATTTGATCAAAATATATTTACATAAAATTTTAAAATATTGAATATATCCATATCATTATGATCCATACAAGCAATTTGGTTTTGTTGAAACTTTAATAAGTTTAGGGATTTGAAAATATGTTTAATATGTATGGATTCTAAATTTTGACATTGAGGTATTTGTTTAAGGTAATTTTGACTTTACATGTCTCGTTATAGTCATAATTGAAGAAATATGTCAATTTGTTTTTCATTTTTGAAGGAAATAAGTATTAGAGTTTATTTATGACAAAAATACATTTATTTTTTATTGCAAAATTCACCTCAACATAGGTTCAATGAATATTCTTTTTTTTTTTTTTTTTTTGAACAGGGTATTCAGCCACAGTCACTCTAAATGGAGCGCTTGGTGGCATAACTGATTCCTCGGCGAAACTTAGCGAGGCCACCCACCGGCATCTGACCCACACTTGCTTTGCCCCACTGAAGAGGCAGGGCCGTAGTAGAGGGAATTCAAACCAGGGATGGGGCGTTCCTAACCGTGCTCGCCCACTAACCACCCCAAGCCTTGGTGGGTCAATGAATATTCTAATAATGTTCAAAAAAGATTCAAATCATATTTAATTATGTTTTGGCTAGGTTTAAACCTTGTTTGGACTAAATTTTTTGAGTCATATTTGAACAAAGTTCGAACCCTATTTAAATGAGATTAGAATCACATTAGAGCAAAAGTGAACTATATTTGAACCTTATTCGACAAGGTTCCTAAATTCTTCGCCTATTTGAATAAGATTCAAATTAAGGTTGAAAATATGTACAAGAAAAGTTCAAGCGATGATCAAAAAATATAGTTCGAATAATGTTCAAACATAATTCAAATAAGATTCAAACTTGATTAAATCATAGCCTACTAACAACTATAAAATAATAGATTATAAGATATGTAATAGTGTAAACCAGCAATTATAACAAAACAAATTTCAATCCAAACATATATATCATGATACAAAACAATCTAGCAGATATATTATATCACAGAGCAATCACAACATCTATGACATAATAGATCTAAAACGAAATAGACAATCAAAGAATAGATATTTACAACAAAGTGCTATGCACAAATGAATTGAAATAATAATATTTACAAAATGATTTGATTATATTTGAATAAAACTAGGGATCGATATTATTGTGAAATAAATTTATGCATAGACAATCTCACTTCCATTTTCAAGGAGCTTTAATAGAGGGAAGTTCATATCTATGTATAAATAACCCTAATATCTCTAGTAATATCATGGGCGAAACCAGCCTTAATTTTCAAGGGGGGGGCAAACTTATAAGTAATTGTCGGGGGTGCAAAGGGGCAACGCCGCCTGACAGAGTTCAACCTGCCCGATCAGATTGCGGGGTCAAGGGTCAACATTCCTAGGGGGTTTCCGGGGGCAACGCCCCCATAAATTTTGGTTGTAAAGATATTTTTGAAATTCAAATTTAAAAATAAAATGATGAATACTCTTTACTATTTGTTTGGAGCAATTGCCTAAAGATCCTAGTATTTTAAAAGTTTTAGGGGGAACAATTGCCTAAAAATCTTTGTAATAAAGGGGCAACGCCGCCTGACGGAGTTCAACCTGCCCGATCAGATTGTGGGGTCAAGGGTCAACATTCCTAGGGGGTTTCCAGGGGCAACGCCCCCATAACAAATTTTGGTTGTAAGGATATTTTTGAAATTCAAATTTAAAAATAAAATGATGAATACTCTTTACTATTTGTTTGGAGCAATTGCCTAAAGATCATAGTATTTTAAAAATTTTAGGGGGAACAATTGCCTAAAAATCTTTGTAATAAAAATTAAAATACCTAAAGAGCTATGCAATAAAGTTTTTTTTTTTTTTTTTATTAGGTGGGCAATTGCCCCCCTTCATCCTAAAGGGGTTCTGCCCCTGAAAGCAATTACAAAATAAATTCATTGTGCATGCAAGGTTTGCATTGCAATCACAAAAAAGTTCCTAATCATATAACACCGCCTTTTTAATAGAAAAAAAAATCTCGCATATTGTATAATGAACATTATTCCAATTCATTGGATAATATATGAGATGGGCATCTGGCCGAGACTTCAAGAACAACTCTTAGGCTTCGTTTGAGACGGCTTTTTTATTGCTTTCTAAAACGGAGTTTTAGTACAAAAATAAAACAGTAAAAAAGCCGTCCCAAACGAAGCCTTAATCCCTAATGAAGTATTTAGCATAGATATAGACCAATTGGTAATATCAAATATACCTAGAGTTTGAAAAAAAAAAAAAAAAGATCATTAAATATAAACAAGCACAATTCACTGCAATATTCAAGTTTCTGGATGGTCATACAGTGATTAGAGCCAGAAGTATTTGATGAAGGAAATTGAGCAGATATTCTATGATTTTTTAACATAAATGGCAAGTGACAGCGAAAAAAATTTGGAAAAACTCAAAATAATCCCCTTCAATTCATATGTGGCCAATTTAATCCAATAGCATCACTTATCACATTTCTCCAACTTAGGCTTCGTTTGAGACGGCTTTCTTACTGCTTCTTAAAACAATTTCTTAGTTAAAAAATTTTAATTTTAGCTATAAAAACTATTTTAAGAAGCAGTTAGAAAGCCGTCCAAAATGAAATATTAGTCTATCAAATATACAAAATTGATTCTCGTCGTTGATTAAATTGAGAACAATTTTATAAAATCGAGGGCAACTGGACACAATGGCGAAAAAGGATTCATGTAACCGACCTCACGTAGTGGGACAAAGGCTTGATGTTGTTGTTGTTGTTGAAAGTCTAATTAGGATCTACTCTACATCACAATTCTCAACAATTTCTAAGGGCCAATTTGGGATTAATTTTGTATATTCAATAGGCTAAATTAAACAAATGGAATACTCTGGGACTAACTGGTCACATACCAATGGTCGAGGGGATAGAATAAGAGAAAATTTTCACTCCTCCATATTTGTGCAAGGATTAACTAATAATACCTTTTTTTGAGGAATGTAATCATATTCATGAACCTGGTACATAGAAACCTGGACCAACACCAGAAAAAAAAGGATGTTAAAGAGTCTGAACTCAGAGCAGGATAGATGTTTATCTAATAAATGGACAGAGTTCCTTCTGTTTTCACTAGTCTTGGAGGACAAGCCAAATCACTATAACATTTGTCTGATATTTACATGTGGAATTCTTCATGACAACTTGGATAATTCAACCCTTTTTTGGCATGGCAGCAAGTCTTGTGTACATCCTTGCCATCGACTGATAACCTCTGATATCCCCAGACCGAAGAAGATTACCTGTAAAAGAAAGACGGAGAGAGAGAGATTTATATCTTCAGGTGTTTGACAGAGTTCTGATAGGAAACACGTGTAGATCTCAAGCATTTCCTATCAATCTTCGGAAAACAGCAAGAAACTCTTTCAAACTCCAATGAAAACAAGAAAAAATAGTAATTTTATGCAATAATCAAATAGAACGGATGAAAATAACACAATACAATTGATCATGTATTCGAGAGGAGGATCTATCTCTCTTAAATCTCTAGACGCCGCTAGAGCCCAAAGAAACTAAGAGATATCAAATTTCAGTCAAATTCAACATGTCATAACCCTAGAAAAATAAACTACTTAATACATACAATCCAAAAGTAAATATCTAAACAGTCCCTAAATTCAAATTTTCCTCCTAACTCCCTCAAAAAACCTTCCTAAATAGCTCTGTAGGATTTGCATTTCGGTCGGCATGTATAGGGAGATAGAAGAGCTGCGCCTCCGTCCGGCTGAGCCGGTTCCGTGTGGACCGGCTGGACCGGTCCAATGAACCGGTCTAACAAGTTCAAGGGTAACTGTAGAAATAGATAAATTTTCTTATATAAAACCACAAACTTGACATAATTGAATGATTGCTAAAAAGGACAATAAAACCAAAATCATGACGCAATAGTGCGTTCACTCTTAACAAAATGTAAATATAGTATTCACAAGATAGAGTAGCTATGAGATAGATTTGCTGCTGTGTGGGCTAACCCATTTGTAATATGTAGATGTCTAAACTTCAGAAGTATAAATATATTTTACATATTACACTAATATTTGAAAAATATTTTTATTATATGTAAATTTATCTTTGTAATAATTTAAACTGGCATATGTTGCATGTACATTCCATATTAACAATAGTATTTTTTTCTCAATTTTTTAAATTTTAATCATAAAGACAATATCATTTACAAACTCATTTTAGATCATATAAATGTTCATTTATTATATATTAAACCACTGCCATTATCATCAATAGCCTTACGCAAACTAATTGGGATCTCAGCTTTATGATTCCCCATTTTAAATATATATTAAACCACTGCCATCTCTGTCACACTTAACTTAGTATTATGCTTCTCTTTTAATGGCCAACATTCGGCACCATAAAGCATTGCAGGCCTCACCACCATCTTATAGAATTTTCCCTTGAGTTTGAGGGGGTACTTTTCTATCACACAACATGTTCGATGCATTCCTCCACTTCAACCATCCAACTTGAATTCTGCTAATAATATCCCCATCTATTTCACCATCACTCTGAACAATAGATCCAAGATATCTAAAACATGTACTCTTATTAATGACTTGATCGCCCAAAGTCACAATCCCCTTACTAGGTCTATTACTACTAAAATTACACTCCATATATTCTGTTTTAGATCTACTTAAGCGAAAACCTTTAGACTCTAAGGTTGACCTCCATAATTCAAGTTTACCTTCAACTCCCTCTCTAGTCTTATCAACAAGAAGAATATCATCAGCAAAAAGCATGCATCAAGGTACATCCTCTTGCAAATGTCTAATGAGAACATCCATGACTAAAGAAAAAAGAATTTTTTAATATATTATACTATTATAAATTTATAATATAATTAGCAGTTAATATAACCTATATTTCTTTTCTTTTCAAGTTAATCAAGGGTTTAGGGTTGAGCAAGTGATTGCTAGTCGAGCGAGTGACGACGCGAGAGCTGGATCACATGAGCTATTGTGGCTACTAATAAGGTTTGCATGAACTTGGAAGGTCACAAGCGCATGAGAGAGGAGTTCGCAAGCGTTGAGGATGATTTTGTGAGCTTGTGCATTCTTGAGCAATGGTTTTAGGTTTTTTTTCCCCTAAATGTTAGTATGTTCATTTACTATTTTCTGTTATTTATTTATTTTTACCTTTTTTATAGTTTTTTAAAGATTTTGATTAATATTTACGTTCTGTCTTATCATGCACTTTTTTATTTTATGATGATGAACTAAGTTAGTTTGATGATAGTTTAGCATATTTATGAATTATTTATTTTTCAATTCAAAACTTCCACCTCGATCTACCATGAGGCTTGCGTCTCACCCCACTAAGGCAAAACGCCTCAGATTTCAATTTGTTTGTTTAAACATTAGGTAAATGTTAGACCGGTCCTCTATGAATTTTATTGAACTACATAAAGATTTTATTGAACTATGTTGATCAACCGGAAATGATTTTGGAAAGGGATGTTCATAAATTGCGAAGCAAAATGATTCCCTTTGTAAAAGTGAAATGGAAGCACAAGTCAGAAAGGCAAGCTACATGGGAAAGGTGGGATGATATGAGACAGAAGTTTCCTAACCTGTTTAAAGAGATTGTAAAACCCGAAAATTTCTATTTTAGGCTTAGCACGCTTTTTAAAGCGTCACGACGAGAATTTAAGTAAAATTTTCAAGGTTATCGGAATGCAACGAAATTAATTTTAGAAAATCCTACGCGAAATTCTGATCGTTTTGGTATATAGAAGTTATACCAAATTTTGCTTATTTTTGGAGTTATTAATTTTAGAAGCCTAAAAATACCTATTATACCCTTACTTAACCCTTAAACCGAAATTGCTTAAGTGAGGGCAAAAGAGTCATTTAGCAAACCCCCAATTCCTCTTAATAGGCATAACCGACCCCTCCCCCCCCTTTCATTCTTTCGCACGAACGGCGGACCGAGCGGAACAAACGGGACGGGTGGACGGACGGCTTCCGCGAGGGGCATTTCGGCGGCGATCTTCCGGCAAGAACTTTACGTCAAATCGAAGAGGACGCGCGAGAGGGGATACTCCGGTATGATTCTTTTCGAACGAAACCTTTTAAATCTCTAGATTTTTGGGAATTAAATTTCTACGTTTTTTTAGGATTTTTGGAATATTTTCTTCGAAATCTCTTCACGAAATCTTTAAGAAATGTTTAGAGGAATATTTTAACGTTAAAAAACTTAGAGATTTGAGAAATTTTGGGAATTTAGAAACTAGGTTTTTGACCTAAACAACTTAATTTGTAAGGCACCTTTATGAAAATGATTCCTAAGGGTTTAGAAAATGTTTTTAAAGAAAAATTTTAAGTTTTTATCGAAAACTTCATTTTCTTAATTTTTAGGATTATTTTAATCCGAAAATATTATTATATTATTATAATATGGTAAGGATCAATTTAAAATAAATAATTGGATGAAATTGAGGATTATGAATTTTCAAATTTAGTTAATTATTAAATCCGAAAATCAACGTTTATTTAATTATTATCTTAATTGTCGTTAGGAATGGTAAAGGAAAATGCCGAGTTTAGCAATTTGACTTAGAAATTGACTTATGATTGTGACACGTTTACTTTATAAATCTTTCTTAGGTAGTGACCATTAAAGGGTAAGTGTGAAAGAATTGTATCAAGGGCGTGCCACAATTGTTGAGGTAGGATTATCAACCCCTTTAATTTTATAAGTGTTAGATTTTATTCATATTTAGAATCAATTTCAAGTGTGTTTATTTTACTGTCAATATTTTTATCTATTGTCAATGTTTTGTATGTTCCTAATTTTAAGAATACCCAGTTAATGCTTTCATTTCATGCATTATATGTGAAAAGACAATTAGGGTATTATGAATAAAATGAAATGATATGAAAGAAAATGAAAAGAATTTAATGAAATAAAATTATCATATGCATGTTGATCCGGAAGTAAACCAAACTAAATGGTAATGGGGCCTTTCAAAAAGCCAATGGTAATGGCGGCTTGTATAAGCCAATGGTCAATGGGTTCTGCGGAGCCAAATGGTAAGGGAAATGGCCAAAACTTTTGACTGCGTACCTGATCAGTATGAAAACTGTACTTCCGGGACGGATGATACATTAGCATATTCATTTTTCACATTTTGCATTCTGATATGAAAGAGAAAAGAAATGAATGAAAGAAATCAATTGTTAAAGGAAGAATGAAAGGAAAAATGTAATAGTTACATTGTTTGACTCGCTCACATGAAATGAATTAGTTTTTCAATTGTAAATGTTTTTAATATATTGCATCTTATGAAATTGAATTGTGATGATGATTTACTGCTGAGCTTTAGCTCATTCCTCGTTTGGAAAATATTTTCAGGATAAAAGTAATGGCTGCATCGACGACCTTACACTATCGTCGTAGGGGACCTCAGGAGGATGAAAGGTTCCTTTTTTTGTGTTGTCAATTTACGTCTTTGTATTTGTTTCAGAGTAGGTCGTGAATTTTGAGGTTTGATGTAATTGTGAAAGTTTATGTTGTGATGATGAATTAGAAAGTTTTATTGGGTTATGAGACAGTTGATCACTTTATAACAATTCAGTTTGAAAAATTTATTAGTGGCTCTTTCATGTTTTGGGGATGAATGTTGTTCTTAACCTTAGTTTAAATAAAATTATGTTATGTTTATAATTAGCTTTTCCTACGATCGTCTGTTCCCGCCCCGATAAATCGGGCTAGCCGGGCGGGTCGTTGACAGATTGAAAAGGGAATTTCGGGGACGAAATTTCATAGGAGGGGAGATTTGTAAGACTCAACCAGTAACAAGTTGAGTTGCTAAATGCTACTTATAATTCAAATTTATTGATTAAACTATTTGTTAATTAGTATTAATATTAAAACAGTAAGTTTAATGTTAATGTTTGTTACATTAATAATAGAAATAAATGGATTATGTAATTTCAGTTAAATAGTAAATTTTATTATGATAGATGCATAGTTTGCGGTAAATAGCAGTTTATAGCTTGGGCCACTCTCCTAACCTTTCTACTTTGGATAAGTGTTGTTTACGGCATGAGAATAAAATGGAGAGACAAATGAAATGCAGATTTCACGGATAAGGAGCCGCTGTTTCTTGTTCCTTGTCGGAGTCATACAGGCGGAGACAAAGATCCTGTAGCAAGGTTCGGTAGAGGGAGGCGGGACTGTAGCTTTAATCGGCATAGTATTCCCAGTGCTGTAGCTAGAGGCG